TCCCTGAAWGATGGAAGTGAAAAAACGAAGGAGCAACACAGCAATAAAATGATGAATACTCATAATTAAAACTCTCCATATTTCTCTGKTAGTTTTACTGCACCAAGAGGCATTCATATTAATATGCGCCTACCAAGAGCAAAATCTGTCTGAGAGCAAAAGTAACAGATGTCTGCCAAGATGGAGAGGTACCAACGCTTATCGCTAGGAACTGGGATCAATGGGTATCATTCCATAGTGATACACCTTGAAATCAGCAGTCGCCAAGGCCTTTTGATACTGAGAAGAGTCAGTTCATTGTCCCTGGTGAATACTGAGAGCAAAATCTGTCCAAGAGCAAAAGGATGAGGGAATGGAGTGAAAATTACCCCTGAAGTGCAAACTCTCTAACATCAACACRGCTGTTGCAACTGAGTTACAAATTCAGTTTCCAGTCCCTCTCTCTTGCCACAAAGTATTTCCTGCCATTACACACAAGGTGTTTGATTTCCAAGCTTTTTGAAAACTAGAGAGCATTTACTCCTTGGAGTAAAGTACCTGTCCTKGGAGAAAAGTACTGCCTCTTACTCAAAGGGGCAGGAAGGCTACATCTGGAGTCCCTCTGAATACCTGCTAAAGTAAAACCAGCAAAGCCACAAGGGATCTTCTTTGTCACAGGTCAGACATCACACAAGGAGCTGCCAAAAGCCACCTCTATGCCCACACACTGAAACACACTTTCGGTTTGACTGCAGCTGCATTACACAAGGAAGGGAGCATTATCCCTCCCTGCCAAGACAACACTAGACCTTCCCGCAAAGCAACAGGTGACAGATTCACAACTTCTTTCTCTTTCAAAGTAACTGTTATTTATCTATTATTCCCGAAGCTTTTCCTGTCAACTGCTTCAATTACAGAGTATTGATTTTTTTCCCCTTATTTCTTTGCAACTGAGTCTACCAGACGCAGACAGATGTTTTTCAGATTCAGATTTGCCCAGCATATTCGCTGTACTATTTTCCAAAACTCACTCC